GTTGGAACTGGATGATCTTTAAGGTGCCTTCTAACCTAAGCCATTCTATGATTCTATAAGCAGACTAACTGCCTGTAACAGTTATTCATCTATGCTAAACTACAGCTCAAGTTCTTCTTTGTTCTTCCTCCGACAGTCATTGCATATTATTTTTCTATAGTATCTTATTTTAATATTACACCTAGACTGAATGGAAAGTTAGAACTGAGTGATAGACCTATTCCTCAGGGCCACAATATTATCCCTGGCCTATTTCATTTACTAGTATAGCTGTAGGTTCAGAAACCACAGTACTGGGAATGATGCAAAAAATAACAGTAACGAATTGTCTAAACCTTACCGAACTTCTGAATGACCTTTTCAAAAGTTCTAATTCTTCACAACTACAACAGGAGATATTGCCTTCTTTGAAGTAACAGCAAAGAGGAAAAGCAGATTGTAGCATTAGTGTCTTTACAATAAACAGAGGCAAGAACTAAACAGCTGCTGCTGCTTTTTTACCTTTGAACTTGTAAAGAACTGAAATCTAGTCTGCTCTGGATGTAGAAAAACTCCTACTTTCTAGCAAAGGACTGGAAATTACAGCCTAATGAGCAATCATTTTTTTTTCTGATTGAGAATGCCTTTTCAATGTGACATATAGCTAGCCTAAACAGAAATTCATCCCCTTTCTAAGATGTAGCACGCCTACCACCTCTGGTAACACTCTACTGTTCTTTCAGATGTCAAATCTCACCAGAAAAATAATAGGTAGACAAGATCTGAACACCTACAACACTTGAAAAAGCACACCACGTTCTGTTTCTGTGAGCGCCAGGGAAGGAACAAAAGACTCTGGCCTGTAGGATTTTTAGATGCACAGCAGTTGTTACCTGATTGTTATGGTCTGCCATGACATGGTATTTCATCCCTCCTAAAGACTTCAGCTGCTTCCCACAGTGATGGCATGTGAACATTTCCTAGAATTAAACAAGGACGTGGTGCATGTAACTGTAAATTAACCAAAGCAGTGGGAAACTCTTTGAGGGAAAGGAGCAGGAGAGCAGAACATTTTATTTGGGCCTGGTAACTGCCCATTAAGAACAAAAGAGATTTTATGGAGCCTAAAATTTAGGGAAAAAAATGAAATAGCTGCATCTTTGTTCACTATCCCAAACCTCCAGCAGAAGGCTAAGCAGGAAGCACCAAGCGTAACCTCTTACAGATGCATGAAGGACTCTTGCTTAGAGACATGATGATGAGATGAAACTGGTTTTAAATGCAACACAAAACTGTGCAAGCATTTCTACCAGTAAGTTCAAGAGGAGTAAAGAAAACATTGCTCATCTCTCGTGTTCTTACCTGCCTGCAATTTACCATATGTTTCTTCAGACCTTCTACAGTCTTTCTCACCACAGCCCGGCACGTTGGACAGGTAACTCGGCCTTTGTCCTGTATTTCCAAAGACCATTGCTCTTCCATACTACCTGTCAAAACAAAAGGTTTGGAATATAACTGCAAACATAGTATCTTTTTTTCCTTCAATGTGCACAATTAATCATAGAAGGAAACAGGTGACATGCTACCAAACTCGTGCCCAGCCACGCTTCAACAGGCTTAGCTCATTTGCAGCTTCAAACGTGTCACGTGACAAGGCACGTATCGCTCCTTTCGGGAGATCCTTTTATAAAAACTCTTTAATCCCACCATGCCCTTGCGAGGAGTGCTCTTCTACTTGTTCAGTAGAGAATGGTCCCTCATTCATTTTTATTATACAATTACTTAAGCATGCAGACTAAACTTCTTCTTTTCAGTGTTTTCACAGTAAAAGTAGTCACAGATGTGACTGAACAGTTCAGACAAAGTCCATGGCTCAGTTCTACTAGCCAAGCCTTTAGAATTCCACTTGTGTTAGCCAGTAGTTTTGGCACAGAAAGTGAATGGAGCTGCACCACCAGGCCAAGTTACTCAGCTGCCAGGGAAGAGTGCCCTGTGTGGCATGGTTTCCAGTTCCTGGCCTCTTTCTGAAATGCCAAGCAAAATTTTGGCATAATTCACAAGGACTATAAATTACTGAAACAGGTTCTGGGAAGAAAGTGGCTTAGTAGTCATCTGCTTGAATTCTTATCATAAAAAGATCTAAAGGCTTTTCTCTTTGCCCAGTAGTTAACAGGCAGGGGTTGTCCCACCCCAGGTGGCTGAAGGAAAAATCTGTGAATCAAACAGCACTTGGCAGAAAATTGAGTTATTTAACGAGTGCTGTGAACAACAGGTACCAAGTCATTCCACTCGCTGAGTCAAAGCTAAGGTTATTTTTCTAGAATGGACTGCTTGGGTCTCTGGCTGCCAGGTTACTGGAAGAGTTGATCTGGCAGCAACTGCTACAAAGTTTTTCCAGCAAAGGCAGAATCGCAGAATGGTTTGGGTTGGAAGGGACCTTCAAGATCATCCAGTTCCAACTGCCCTGCCATGGGCAGCGACACTTTCCACTAGATCAGGTTGCCCAAAGCCTCATCCAACCTGGCCTTGAACAATTCCAGGGATGGGGCAGCCACAGCTTCTCTGGGCAGCCTGTTACAGTGCTTCACCGTCTTCATTGTAAAGTTCTGTCAGGGCTTTAGCTTTCCTAACCTGACCCCTGGCTGCTCGGACAATTTCTTTGTACCTGTCCTTGCTTCCACTCTCTGTAGGCTTCCCTTTTGTGTTTGACATATTCTGTCAAGTAAAAAAATATAAATATTTTTATAGTTTTATAGTGAAGCTATTTTAACAGGCTTTTGCTCAGTTCAGAAAGTGATCTCCCCTTCACTGTTCCATTATGCAGTGGCACAACCAGGTGGAACTACACTTTTAGGCAGTATGCAGTCCATCCAACCTGGTTCTGCAGTACTGACACAGTGCCAGAAGGACAGCAGCCAGCTCTTCCTTGTCAATAGTAAAGTGAACAACAAAATGGAAACACCAGAAATATAGCTGTTGCTCCACTTTAAATCCTGGATTCACATTTAGCTGCTTTATAAACAATTCCAAGCAATTGCTGCTGCCTCTTACCTGTGCCATAGGTTTCTGGTTCTTTCTGAACACAATGGCCCTTCGTTTTGGAGTTTTGTTGTGTTCCTGCTTGCTGCTTTTTTCCTGTTACAACATAAACAAGAAAGACCAGAAGACTTAATTCCACGAGCCTTGTTACGAAAAAGCAGATTTTTTTCTAGAACGCTATTTAGTCTGCTGTTTCAAAGCTACTCATTCAGAAATGTTCAATGATTCTGGGGATCACCACTTGCGACCAGTCCCCAACTGGATTTAACAACTCTTTCGCCCCAGTCAACCAGTCAGTTTTTCACCCAGCAAAGCATACACCCCTCCCAGCCATGAGCAGCCACTTTCTCCAGGAGAATGCTGTGGGGAACGGTGTCCAAGGCTTTACTGAAGTCTAGGTAGACAACATCCACAGCCTTTTCCTCACTCCCTAAGCGGGTCACCTTGTCATAGGAGACCAGGTTAGCCAAGCAGGATCTGCCTTTCATAAACCCGTGCTGACTGGGCGTGATCACCTGGTTGTCCTGTACGTGTCACGTGATGGTACTCAAGATGATCCATTTGTTCCACAACCTTCCCCAGCATCAAGGTCAGACTGACAGGCCTGTAGTTCCCTGGATCCTCCTTTTAGCCCCTCTTGTAGAGGGGCATCACATTTGCTAACCTCCAGTCAACTGGAACCTCCCTGATTAGCCAGGACTGCTGATAAATGATTAGGTACGTCCAGTTTGTTTAAGTGCTCATCCTCCTTCACTGAATGTAAGGCTTCCTTGCTCCAGACTTTCCCTCTGGTCTCAGGCACCTGGTATTCCTGAAGGATTCCTTTAACTGATAAAAGACTGAGGCACAGGAAGCATTGAGTACCTCAGCCTTTTCCATGTCATTTGTCACCAGTTCCCCTGCCCTGTTCAGCAGTGCACTCACACTTTTCCTAGTCTTCCCTTTGCTGCTCATGTATTTGTAGAATCCTTTCTTGTTGTCTTTCACATCCCTTCCTAGATTCAACTCCAGCTTGGCCTTGGCTTTCCTAACCTCATCCTAGCAAGATTAGACAGCAAATGTATACTTCTCCTGTGTCACCTGCTACTACTTTCAGAAAATTGAAGTGGTTGAGTTAGATTGCACCTTAACAAACCCATATTGCTGTTATCATCTACTCATTAATCTCCAGATGTTTACAAGTAATTTGTGTGATTATTTAGTTCAGAATCTTTTGGGAAACTGAAATGAAGCAGACTAGTCTGTATTTCTCTTACTTCCTTTCCTCCCTCCCTTCGTTGGACTTTGAAGAGAGACTGAAATTAGAACAATCATCTCCCACCATAAAACAGAAACTAGTAAACAGTCTCCTATAACAACATACCCAGAATCAGAAATAGAGTTGGAAGACAGCAGAGGATAGCATTTGGGCAGGGAGGAAGTCTGAAGTACCTGGAAGACTTGTAACTAGGAATTACAAGTTATTTGCATTACCTGAAATCTTCTGCTTCTTCTTGGGAGAGTCTTTAACATCTTCGCCTTCCTCTTGTTCAGATTTCCTCTTGCCTTTCAGTAGTACTTCTCCTGCTAGTGAGTAAGAATAGAAACGCTTCAGTCTCGTTATTCAGTCTGGATAACAGCTTTGAGTGTGCTGCTGCTTCAGCTCATCCCTGTATTTAATACTTAAAAAACCAAAAAGTAGTAGTTTTTGTAAGGCAGCTGGACACCAGTGAGCTAGACTGACTGTAACATTTAGGCACTCCACAGCCTGCAATGCTCTGACACAGAAGATATAGAATAAACAGTGCTGCAGCATGGTCTGGGAAAATAATATTCCTCAGAAAGAGAGCCAGAAGGTGCTAGGTTATGTCACAAAAACCTCATCTGCACGCACACAAAAAGGAGCACAGAGAAACAACGGCAGGTAGGGAAACTCAAATAATATCCTGCCTCCCCTTACTATTTCCTGGCTTATCAAAGACTTAACTCCATGAATACAGAAGCACAACAGCAGGTAGGGGAACACAAATTTCGGACTGAAAGCATCAGGGTTTTAGCCCAGCCAGTAACCAAACACCATGCAGCTGTTTGCTCACCCTTCCCCACCCCCAGGGGATGGGGTAAAGAATGGCAGGGGTAAGGGCAAGGAGACTTGAGATAAGAACAATTTAATAATTGAAATAAAATAAACCACCAGCGTATTATCAGCATTCTTCTCACATCAAATCACATACTGAAACCAAAACACAGTGCTATTGTAGCTACTAAGAAGAAAAGTGGTAGAGGAACCAACGAGGAGAGGTGTTTTGCTGGACCTTGTTCTCAACAAGGTCAACCCAACAATGAAGGGCTGGTGGGGAACGTGACGCTCAAGGACAGCCTTGGCTGCAGCGATCATGTAATGGTGGAATTCAAGATACTTAGGGAAGCAAGGAGGGTGCATAGCAGGCTCACTACCCTGGATTTCAGGAAAGCAGACTTTGGCCTCTTCAAGGATCTCCTTGCTGGAGTACAATGGGATGAGGCCCTGGAGGGAAGAGGGGCACAAGAAAGCTGGTTAATATTCAAGGATCACCTCCTCCAAGCTCAGAAGCGGTGCATCCCAACAAAGAGAAAGTCAGGTAGGAACACCAGGAGGCCTGCATGGATGAATAAGGAGCTCCTGGACCAACTCAGGCACAAAAAGAAAGCGTATAGGGGGTGGAAGCAAGGACAGGTAGCCTAGGAAGAATACACAGAAATTGTCTGAGCAACCAGAGATCAGGTTAGGAAAGCCAAAGCCCTGATAGAGTTAAATCTGGCCAGGGACATCAAGGGCAACAAGAAAAATTT